TTTAAAAAGAAGCCTCGTAGAATCTCCATCAGGATCTAGGCTGCTGGTGCAAAAAGGACAGTAACCTGTGGAATTTACAAGGTGTGCTCTGGAATGTTGTCCTAAACTCCTTGCTGGTATTTGTCCTTTAGTCTGGAGAAGATTCTTGTGGGGGAAAAAAACAACAGATCAAACCAAAGTAATTAAATATCTGAGAAGGATAAACTTCAATTTAAATGAAAATCCCCCAGTTCCTGAAAAGGTATCAGAATTTCAGAAGAACTTTCACAAGCTAAGAACTTGCTTGAAGAGAGCAACCATTAAAATAGGAAAGCACCTCTTTGATGAAGTGGAAAAAATTACTTGTGCTATAAAATAAGAAGAAAATGTAAAGAATTCTATAGAAATGTTTTAAGTGCATATGAAAAAATGCTTAAGAATTCCATGAACCTTTTAGAGAAAAGATAGCTCTTAATGAAACAAAGCTGCTTGAGAAAGTTAAGTGTGGGCTTCCCATCAGCGACAGAAGAGAAAGTTGGAATGAGCAAAAACGAAGTTAAGGAAAATCTGACAGCACATCAGAGGTCTTCAAAAGAGAGGAAATAACTTCCTGATGGTAAAAGTGATGATGCTAAAGTTTTGAATAATTGTCTTGTGCAGATCATTTCTGAAACGGGGGGAAAGTAATTGTATTTTCTGAATTAGGTAAGAGAGAGACAGGACTTGCCACGTTGAGAAGTGAGAGGAGACAATTTTATCGGTTATTTATTGCTGTGTAATAAACCACCACAAAACTTGGTGACTTGCAGCTGTAGTGATTTCTGTCTTTCATGATTGTCTGGGTTGGGTATCAGTTTATCTGCTGGTTTTGCCTTAGGCTCGCTCTTGCAGCTGCATTCATTCAGCGGTGAGGTGGTTGGGCTGGAAGGTCCAGGTGGCCTCACTCACAGGTCTGGCAGTTGGTGCTGGCTGTCTTTTGGGAGCCCTGGTTCTTCTAGTCTAGTGTGACCTCCAGTTCTTTGGGCCGCATGGTAAGATAAGAGAGCGAAAGCAGAAGCTGGCTTTGGAATCTCTTCTGCCACATTCCATTGATAAAAGCAAGTCACACCCTAAGCTCCAGAGGGCGCACAAGGACATTTGGCCGCACCTCGATGCCATCTACGAGGCTGGCCCTAAGCCGAGGCCTCATCAGTATAGACCGGGAGACTGGGTTTTTGTCAAAAGGCACCTCCGGGAGACCCTCAAGCCGCGTTGGAAGGGTCCCTACATCGCAGTGCTGACTACTCCCACTGCTCTCAAGGTAGATTGCGTCGCAACCTGGATCCATCACACCCATGTCCGCCCAGCAGACCCCTCTGCAGTCCCGGAGGACCTCATCACCCAATGGAGCCTAGATTACAATCAGCAGAACCCGCTCAAACTCAAGCTCAAGCTATGGCGCACTCAACCCACCTGATATTGGTAACTCTGTTGACTCTGTTGTCACCCATGCTGCCGGGAGTTCGCCCACGCCCCTTGCAATCTTACTTGGCAGATCATAGATACCAGCTCGGGAACAGTACTTAACCAGACTTCCCAGATCCACCCTAAAGACACGTGGTTCCCAGAGCTCCGGGGAGACCTCCAGGACCTCTTTCTTGGTAAACTGCCCATGGAGTATGCACCATTCATCCGCAAGCAAAACCTTCATTTTTATGTTTGCCGCGGTCACTCGCGGACCTGATCTGCCGTGGCAGACTACTTCTGCATCTCCTGGTCGTGTGTCTGATCGGGCATACCTGGTGGACCCCCCCCCCCCCCCCAACCAGTGATCTGATACCTGTCAAGCAGCCAACCGCTCCGCCTTGCTGCCAGACGGGTCTCTGCAACCCCATAGGTAAATCCTTCACAGAACAGGGAAAGAAAGCAACGGGATGGGATGCTGAAAAACCTGGGGGATTAGACTATATGACAAGGTAAGGCTTTCGGCCCAAGACCAGGGAACGCTGTTTACCCTCCGGGTGCAGGTAAGCACCCCTCTCCCAACAGGCTCCCATAGGAGTAGGGCCTAACCGAGTATTAGCACCCCAGCCTGTCCGCACCCGGGCCCGGCCTCAGCCCTCCGCATCCCCTGTCCCTACCGAGGCACCACCCGCATCTCCTACGCGGGGTTGCGCCTTACCATCTGATGCAGACCCCCTGGGGAGCACGGTTGTCAGAGCATACCATGTTCTGAACGCTTCTAGTCCCGCTGGCTCTGTCTAGATGTCCGGCCACCATATTACGAAGGTATTGCTATTAAGGGCAATTATACGACAGCCTCCGATTTTAGCTCCTGCAGATGGCAGCAGACTACTGCCAGGCTGACCCTCCAGGCAGTAATAGGGCAAGGTACTTGCATAGGCTGAGTGCCCCCTGAGCAAGTCACATCTTTGTAATAACATCCTATCAGCCCCTAGTGGAACAGCTTACCTACTCTTCCCCCCCCCCCCCCCCCCCCCGAAAATGCATGGTGGGCCTGTTCCAGCGGCCTAGCTCCCTGAGTCCTCAACTCCTCGAAAGAAGGCTTTTGCGTACTCGTGCAGCTAATCCCCAAGCTAGTATACCATTCAGGGGAGGAGATACTTAGCAGGCTGGGTTCTGCTAACCCCCGAGGTAGAAGAGAGCCTGTTACAGCCCTAACCCTGGCTGCGCTCTTAAGGCTGGGACTAAGAACTGGGATATCCTCGCTTGTCATACAAGACAAGAACTATGGAAGCCTAAGGGCAGCCATTGACCTAGACATTAAAAGAATTGAGAAATCCATAACCCATCTGCAAGAATCCTTTACTTCCTTATATGAAGTAGTGCTCCAGAACAGAAGAGAATGAGACTTGCTATTCATGCAGCAAGGAGGCCTATGTGCAGGGGAGGAGTGTTGCTTTTATGTTGATCATTTGGGAGTTGTTAAGAAATCCATGGCCCTCATAAGAGAAGGACTGCAGAAGCGGAAGTTAGAGAGGGAGCAATCTCAGTCTTGGTATGAATCCTTATTTAACTGGTCCCCATGGTTAACCACTCTTATTTCCACCCTCGTCAGACCCCTCGCAATCCTACTAATGCTGTTGACCTTTGGCCCTTGTATTATCAACAGGCTAGTCCCATTTGTCAAAGAGCGAGCGCATAGGGGTGGTTCAGATGATGGTTCTGCGTGCCCAGTACAAGCCTCTGGTAGCAGAAGGCGAAGTAGAAATGCAGTCCGTCCCATGATTGGGCCCGTAAGTTTCAAGACAAGGGGGGAATGAAAGGGCAGTGCAGGACTGACTTCATCTTGTACTGTGTCCTCCATCTTGGGTAACTACCGTATTTTTCGGACCATAAGACGCTCCGGACCATAAGACGCACCAGTTTTTAGAGAAGGGAAATGAAGAAAAAAAGATTCTGAAACAAATAGTGTCCTAAAATATTTTATGTGCATTAAAACCCAACATCACAGTCATAAACACATGTAATCAACCCTGTAAAGTAAACAGCAGCATTTAGAACCATTTTAGAGCCGGGCAAGCACACAGAGACCACACAGAGCCGGGCAAGTAAACTTTTTTTTTAAAAGTATATGTGTAGGCTATATTTGGACCATAAGACGCAGGGACTTCCCCCACACACACACACTTCTGGGGGGAAAAAAGTGCGTCTTATGGTCCGAAAAATACGGTATATCCCCAACGTGACTCCTTTCCGAGAAAAACCACAGAATGTGTCAGTTACCCAACCCACCCTTAAATCAGCCAATAGAAATGCAGAGGGAAGCCAAGACCGGTTTGGCTCAATGGATAGAGTGTCGGCTTGGGGACTGAAGGGTCCCGGGTTCGATACCGGTCAAGGGCATGTACCTTGGTTGCGGGCATATCCCCAGTAGGGGGTGTGCAAGAGGCAGCTGATAGATGACTCTCTCATCGATGTTTCTAACTATCTCCCTTCCTCTTTGTACAAAATCAATAAAAATATATTAAAAAAAAAAAAGAAAAGAAATGCAGAGGGAAGTAACCCAGTGTAACTGGAAACTCGCCTTCAGCCCACCAACTGGAACCAGCCAACTCAGTGGTCCGAGCATCACCCCACCACCCAACCCTAAGCCCTATAAAAAGACTACTTTCAGAACTCGGGGCTCTTTGCTTTTGCATCGAACTCGTCTCCCTGGTGGTCTTGGGGATCTTGAAATTTGGGCATAACAAAATCAATTAAAACATATTAAAGAATACATTTCATTTTAAAAATGAGCTATCAGCTGGTAAAGTATGTATACATGTCTTGGGGACACCCTGTGTATTAAAAAAATTACAATTATTATCTCTTATTGACTAAATAAGTAAATAAACTATATGGCCAAGTTTTAATTTTCATTGTAATTGATAATAGAGATATTTTGATATATTAGGCACACTACCCAGTTCCCTGTGCCATGTATCTATCCAGTTGATTTTCTAGTGGGCTCACTTCAGTTTCCAAAACTGTGAAGTGCTTCATAGATTCACACAGTGTTTTACAGCATTTGATGTGTTTGACATTTTACATTATCTTCTTTGATGCTCAAAAGTGCTTGGATAAGTCAGCAAGGCTGGTATGTCTGTCTTTTTTTGTTTTGTTTGTTAAAAAAAGAGACTTGCCTAGCTGGTTTGGATCAGTGGATAGAGCTTTTAGCCTGTGGACTGGAAAGGTCTCGGATTTGATTCTGGTCAAGGGCACATGCCTGGGTTGGGGGCTCAATCTCAAGTAGGGAATGGGCAGGAGGCAGCCAATCAACGATTTTTCTCTCATCATTGATGTTTCTATCTCTGCCTCACATTTCTGAAATAAATAAAAATATATTTTTTAAAAAAGACTTTACCTACTGTGTTCAACAAATGTTGTTTGTGCAACATCATGCATCTACAAATGGACTGGAATTCAGGTTTCCAGACTTTTCACTCTGATGTACCCTGGTTTTCAATAGCTGTTTGACATATTTCTTAATCTCTATACTTCAGTTTTCATGTCTTTAACAAGGAGATAATACCTATTCATTGAATGAGCACAATTATTAATTTAATTAACATGTGAATCTCTTTAAACAGTGTCAAGCTCACAGTAAGTGTTAATAAAAGTTAAATTACATGTTTATTGTTTTAGCACATCCAATTTACTTGTAAGGAGGGTTGGGATCATCAGAGTATACACACTTGGAAAATTCCCAGGTAAGTGTACATGTTAGGCAAGTTTCAGACGAGTACAGCTTAAGTCTTGTTATAATTGAATAACTAAAGCAATGTAGTGGTCCAATAATCCCACTAGTCTTACTTAACCACACGTAATTTGTCCTTGAAATGCTCCTCTTAGCGAGAAAAGGCTCCAAGGGCGTGGTAAGTGGATTTGAGGTATTTGAAAAAGCAGAAACCAATGAACTGTAATAGAAAAACCCAGCATATTCGATAGCCCAAGTGTGTTCGGTAGTGTAGCGATCTACCCAATTTTTCTTAGCAGAGAAGATGTTACGGGAAACTCCACATCAGACACAGCTGGGAACTCTGTCGAAGTTAAAAAAAAAAAAAAAGTTTCAGTTTTGTGAGACATCTGGTGCTCAGCCACCTGTTTTTGCCAGGACAAACAAATGCTTACGGTCTGTGTGGTTTCCTTTAGGACACCTTGCAAGGCGGGGTTACAGCGCTGAAGCAACAAGTTGTGGCCGAGCTAACTGAAGTACGTTCTCGGGGCTCAGAGGCACCTGCACTTCCTGTGACTACAATTCAGGCCAAACTGCTGTCATCCCTAGCATTATGGAGACTACCCCCCTCCCCCGCCCGGCCCCCAATCCATATTTCTACTGGGGCCACCCTCTGGGGTCTCCAGCTCAAGTGCACACCTATGCAGGACTTGACCTGCCGTAATTGCCTAAAATCCAGGAATTTCCGCTCCCTCTTTGGCCCATAACGCGGCCTCTAGCTTGAATTATTTGTGAAAAGGTTAGCAGGCGACACCACCCTTCAACCACTGGGGATCTCCCATTGTGGTTGAGTTAGATGCTCTGGGCACACGACTCAGGCTAAAACCCACTGGGCATTGAGGCCCGACCCATGGCAACGCGGCTCTGACGTCCGCGCGGCGGGGGCCGCCGCAGGTCCGCACTGGAGCCCAGGATGACGTGTGGCGCGTGAGCCCCCCAGGTGCACCCCTGCCTGGGGGAACCCCGTCCGCGCTTCCGGGCAAGGTTCTGTGCACCTGTTCCTTTCTTCCTTCTGCCCAGGGGTCTCTCCCTCTGGGGAAAAAAGTGTACAAGAGGACCAGAGTCGTTACCGCGGACGTAGATTAAGAACAGTGAGGAAGATTAAGCCCAAAGTCAGAAGAAGCTGGGCACCTTTAAGCTTTCTGAAAGGTCACGTGACGAAAGGCCGGGCCCGGCGGTCACGTGAGGGCGCGCGCGCGCTCCCTCGCTCAGGGGCGGCGAGCCAGCGCTGTGCGCGCGCGCGCGCTCGCGCCGTCCACTCCGCCGCCTCCGTCTCCTGCTCGGGAGGGTGCGGAGCGGCGGCGGAGGGATCGGCGGCGTCGGAGTCGGGGTGCGCGTGCGCAGCGGAGCAGCTGTCACCCAGTGCGGAACAAGTCTCCCAAATTTCCCAAATCTCCGGGCCGGAGGTCCGCCGTCTTCCTCCTCCTAGTCCTCCTCCTCCGGGCCGTGTCCTCACCGCACCCGCGAGGCAGGTAACCGCTTTTCCGGAGTCCCGGGGATGGGGGTGGCCGGGGAGGGCACGGGGCGACCTCCCTCCCCGCCCCCCCCCCCCCGCCTCGGCACGGCCCCCTCCGCGCGGGGCACAGGGGTTGCCGGCGTCCGTCCGGGCGAGTGGAGACGCCGGATCTTGGGACCCCTGGTCCGCGGCCGCCGCCGGGACTGTCAGGCTGGGGGGAGAGCGTCCGGCCGGCCGTGGTCGCTGGGGGAGGAAGGCGGAGCCAGTGACAGCCCGCGCCGGCCCTCTGGGGGTTCGGTGCGGCGCTGGGTGTTCCGCCGGGGCCGGAGCCGGCGTCGCGCTCCTCGGGGCAGAGGATCGCGCGGATGGTCCAGGGATGCCAGCTCCTTTCGGTTCCCCTTTCAGCCTGGTCCGCGGCGGCGTACTCGGGGGGGGGGGGGGGCGGGGGAAAGCGGGGCCTGCTGCGCCTCTCGGGGCCACATCTCTTCCTGGGGACTGTCACCGCCGCGGGGTGAGGATGGGGCTCCTCCCCGGAGCACCCCGACGCAGGCTGCTAGCCTGGCTCTGGGGTACCTCCTCACCCCCCGCGGCTGTCCTTTTGGTTTTTCCCCCTGGGCATGGGGCCATTTCTGCAGTGCCCGACACCACGATGCGGTGTAGACAGTGGGTGCTTACTAAGTAGGAGTTGTAACCGGGTCGCGTGGAATGCCAGGCACACGGGACGTGGCTCGGAGTGGAGGAGGGAGCCAGGCCAGGTTAGGCTGGGGCTCTGAGCTCGAGTTCGGGTTTTTATTCGGGGCTCCGCCAATGAACCCCGCGGGGCTCGATTCGGATGCTTTCCGGGTGAACTCGGAGGCAGTCTGCACTGGCTGGCGTTCCCTGCGTGCGATGGCGGGGAGGGGTTTTGTCTGGTTCCTCCTCCGGAAGAAGGGAAGACAAACTTTTTTTTTTTTTTTTAGCACTCGGTAAATCACCGCGCGAGGTGTTATTTGAAGCACCGCTTGGGAGATGTAGGTTGCAAGTTGCAGCTGACCCACACATATCTCGGCGAAAGTTTCTGGTAGGCTCTGTTCACCTAGGATCGGACCAAACTTTGCCCTCTTTCACCCACTTGAATTTGCAGTATTTTTATTTTTATTTTTTAATCTCGGGAAACTCTGCTTCACCGTTTCTATGGCAACGGTTACTAATTTAATTGGGAAGTGTAGTGCTTGAAAAGTAGTGGCTTTAATTCTTAAAGGTTCATTTTTACTTTGTAGCACTCGGTTCTCTCTCTTTTTTATTTAATTTAAAAAATATATTCTTATTGATTTTTTTACAAAGAGGAAGGGCGAAGGATAGTTAGAAACATCCATAAGAGAGAAGCATCGACCAGCTGCCTCCTGCACCCCTTCCTCTCCACCCCCACCCCCGAGATGTGCTCGCAACCAGGGTATATGCCCCTGACTGGAATCGAACCTGGGACCCTTCAGTCCCCAGGCCGACGCTCTATTCACTGTGCCAAACTGGCCAGGGCTCTCTCCTTTTAAAAAAATATATCTTTGTTGATTTGAGAGAGGAAGGGAGAGAGAGAGATAGAAACATCAATGATGAGAGAGAATCATTGATTAGCTGCCTCCTGCATGTCTCCTACTGGGAATCAAGTCTACAACCTGGGCATGTGTCCTTGATGGGAATTGTACCTGAGACCCTTCAGTCAGAAGGTTGACTCTCTACCCACTGACCCAAACCAGCTAGGGTTCTATTCTCTTTTAAGATCATTATTCTAGTTTTCCCTCCTCTCCAGTTCCCTTTCACCCTCACCTCCCACTTTGTTTAGGAATGTATTAAGATTATGTGGGGGTTCAGAGTTTTTAGGCCCTCTTTTTCCCAATTTAGGGTGTTATGTAAAGTTTGCACATAATCTTTACAGCACTCCACGGACTTGGTAATTGAATGCAATTTACTTTTTAATTTTTCTCCCTTTTTATTGACTTTATTGGGGTGACACTGATAAACAAAAGTAAAATTATACAGTGCACAATTCCACAGCACATCTGTACACTGTATTGTGTGTTCACCACCCCAAGTCAAGTCTTTGTCCATCGCCATCTATCCCCCTATGAGTGCAATTTAAATTGGAGGTTTGTTTCACATTAACAGACTTTAATCCATTGCTTTTCTAAAGTTAAAAATATATATTTTAATCTAGTTCCAGTGGTTCAGTGGTTGACCATCAACCCATGAACCACAAGGTAACTGGTTCAATTTCCAGTCAGGGCATATGCCCACATGTCCAGGTTGCAGGCTCAGTTCCTGGTAGGAGGTATGCAGGAGGCAGCTGATAGATGTTTCTCTCTCCCTTAATTAAAAAAAACTTAATAAATCTTTATTGCTCCGATTATTACAATTGTTTCTCCTTTTTCCCTCCATAGCTCCCTTCCACCCGGTTCCCACCCCACCCTCTGCCCTTACCTCCCTACATTGTCCTCATCCATTGGTGTATGACTTTAATACAGTCTCTTCCTGCACTCCCCACTGATGTTTCTCATTGATGTTTCTATCTCTCCATCTCTCTCATTTCTTCTCTCTGAAGTCAACAGCAAAAACGTATTTAAAAAATCCCCAAATTAAAAATAACTAATCATCAAAAAACAAAAGAAAATTTGGAAACAGGATAATTTAGAGGAAAAAGAAAAATCAGCAGTAATTGCCCATTTTCATTTTTGTAAATTTCTTTCTAACCTGTTTTTAAAAAAAAAATTTTTTTTAATTAATTTTTTACAGAGAGAAAGAGAGAGAGGGATAGAGAGTTAGAAACATCGAAGTACCTGAAATCAAGGTACATGGCCCTGACCAGAATTGAACCTGGGACCTCTCAATCCCCAGGCTGACGCTCTATCCACTGAGCCAAACTGGTTTTGGTGTAACCTGCTTGTTTTAATAAACTAAATAAGATTTGATGATAGCTTTAATGTAAAGTTTTTATTAAATTTGGACTCTGTCTTATATAGGGACATCTAGGGAACAGTGAGGAACTTACCCATTGGTTACCTAGGGATGGAATTTCTGGTATTGAAATTGAGCTGATTCTAAGGAACAGAATCTTTCATCTGATACTATTAAGGTTTGAGAACTAAGTATGTGCTAAGTAACTCATTTCCCTTAGCCCCCTGAGAAGCATCCTTACTAGTATATTTGTATGTTTTATGGTACTACAGAGTTATTCCTGGCACAATTGTTTGCTATATTTGCTTTTTGTTTTACTTTTGCTCGGTGGTTTATTCTGCCTAGTAGTGGGTTCATTTCCTCAAATTTTAGATGTAGAACATATAGCATGAACATACCGTGTTTCCCCCGAAAATAAGACCTACTTACAGGTTTCCTTCTGAGTGAAATATAAGACATCCCCCCGGAAAATAAGGCCCCCCCCTAGGCTAAACATGAGAGATTTGGTCCACTGATTCTGAAAGAAATGGAGTCACAAGAAATTCACCAGGAAATTCAGGAATTGGATTGTTATGATGATGTTCCAGAAGATGATGACATGATTGTCACTGAATAAATGAGTAAATTCTTGATGCTGTAGGATTCACAATTTGTCTGGTTTGTGTTGACCACTACCATACTACCGTACCGTATACAGGTAATAAATTTCCTTTATTTTCATTTAACAATAAATGTGTACCGTATTCTTCTTCATGGAAAAATAAGACATCCCCTGAAAATAAGACCTAGCGCATCTTTGGGAGCAAAAATTAATATAAGACACTGTCTTATTTTTTGGGAAACAGGGTAGTAGACAAGTGATTCCCTAACATTTCATGAAAGAGGAGTATATTGAATGTGAATGCTTAGTTGCACTGTAGCTCTATACTTTCAGATACTCAATGGTTTTAGCTACTATGGTATTTATGAACTGCTGCTCCATAGAATCTTTGACATTTATTCTAGATTCTGATAGGTTTGTATACTTTACTGTGGCAAATATTTATGGAGTAGAATAGTGTTGACTTCCTTTTTCTTTTCTTTTTTTAATATCTCCATCAGTTCCAGTTACTAATTTGGAATCTCTACATATTTTTTTTTTAAAATATATTTTTATTGATTTTTTACATAGAGGAAGGGAGAGAGATAGAGAGCTAGAAACGTCGATGAGAGAGAAACATCGACCAGCTGCCTCCTGCACACCCCCCACCGGGGATGTGCCTGCAACCAACGTACATACCCCTGACCGGAATCGAACCCGGGACCCTTCAGTCCGCAGACCGACGCTCTACCACCGAGCCAAACTGGTTTCGGCTACATATTAACTCTTAACAAGTTGAACCCCAGCCCTGCCTGAGTGGCTCAGTGGTTAAGAGTTGACCTATGAACCAGGAGGTCAAGGCAAATGCCTGGGTTGTGGGCTATATCCCCAGTGTGAGGCATGCAGGAGGCAGCTGATCATCAATGATTCTCTCTCTCTTAAAAAAAAAGAGAGAGAGAATTTTTTTTTTTTTTTTACAAGGAGGAAGGGAGAGGGATAGAGAGTTAGAAACATTCATCAGCTGCCTCCTGCATATTCTCTACTGGGGGTGCGCCCCCTAATCAAAGTACATGCCCTTGACTGGAATCGAACCTGGAACCCTTCAGTTCGAAGGCTGATGCTCTATCCAATGAGCCAAACTGGTTAGCCAATGATTCTCTCTCATCATTGGTGTTTCCATTTCTCTCTCCCTTTCCCTTCTGCTCTGAAATCAATAAAAGTATATTAAAAAATATGTAAAAAAAACACACAAAAAAACAAACAAAACAAGTTGAACATCTTTCATCTCAGCTCTGCTTCTCCTGGGTTTCTCCTGCATCTCATCCCATTTCATTGCTCACCAGGGTAACCAGGAGTTATCACAGACACCTCATGGTTCCTCAGCCAAACTAGCACCAGATTTTGTCATGCCTGCTTCCTAAATATATATCATCTCAGTCTGCTAGTCTCCACCTGCCAACATCTCTGTACCTCCTGCAGTCTCCGTCCTTTCTCTGTTCTATTCAGTG